AGTTAAGTTCAGATATTACAAATCAACTTTTGTGTTTAAGAAATTTTCTTTGTGTTAAAAACTCAACATCTGTGTTGCATGATATTAAAGACCTAATAGTTTATTTAATCGAACATGACTTGGCATCGTCTTTTCATGACGTTTTTACGCTGTGTTTAATTTTTCTGACTATTCCAGTTACAGTCGCTTCTGCTGAACGTTCTTTTTCTAAGCTTAAGCTCATAAAAAATTATCTTAGAAACTCAATTTCACAAGACAGACTGACGAACATTGCAATTCTCAATATCAGTGCCGGCGCTAGGGGAGGACAAATGGGACATTTGTCCAGGGCCCCGCGCTTGTTAAAGGGCCCCATGATTTTTAATTATCATCTTAATACGAATACCGTGGTCTACCGTCGTATATTGCATTATTCTGCCTGCAACGGTCGCGTACTTAGATATTAAACAATTTATTATTTTATTCAAACATTTTGATGAATTAATTTATTTTTAATTGATGATTTTATGTAGTTGTTAAATTAAATGTAAATTAATAAAATAACCAGCTCTTATGAATTTATTAGCCTACGATTTTCCACTCAAAGGTTTAATTGAAACTCACGCTACGCCAATAATTCTGTGCTGAGCGAGGTTTCATCTGGAGGAATCGCACTTGAATGTGTTGTCTCCGTTTACACAAGTAGGTAAGGTAAAGTGGGGTAAGTGTGACGCAACAATGAAAAGTTAATTTTGAATTTGACAATACTTTTTTTGTTTTTAACTTAAAATTGTTATTGTTCCATAATGTAACACCTCTAGATATACATAATTGGAATTTATAGTCAACAAAGTTATATTATCACTCACCTAAGAATAATTTTTTTTTTTTAAATTTTAAAACGTCACACTTGACCCTTTTCATGGGGCAAGTGCAAAATCGGATTGTTTTTGCTATTAGTATTACATAAAATTATATATGGGGCAAGTGAATAACAAAGATAAAAATAAGCTTTAATTTGATTTTTGTTTCATTAATATATCTTGATTCATTAAGAATTGACAAAGCTAAAATTTCACTACTCTCTGAGAACCTAAAGGCTATTACCTATGACCAGGGCCCCGCAATACCTAGCGCCGGCACTGCTCAATATTGAAAGAGAAAAAACCTCAGAACTTTAAATTAACAAAATTATAAACGACTTCGCAAATTTTTTATGATCAAAAGTATTTCAAATAAAATAAAATAAAATTATGTTAGTTATATAATATTATGCGTTATTAAATATTTGTATATTACCTAATACCTACTATTTAATAAGTACCTAATTAAAAAGTGTTTCTAGTGATAAATGTAAAATGATTTTATTTTGTGGTGATCATTACAACATGAGTAATATATTTTGTGTTTTTTATTTAATGTTATTCTATAAACGTATCATACTTTTATAGTATTTAAATGATTAAATGTACCTACATTTATAAAATTTATATATATTTATATACCTACATTTTAGAAATACCTAGGTACCTAAAAACATTTACAAGATGTGATTAATTTATAAATGTTTATATAAATGTTGCTAGGTTGCTTACAAGTAAGTAATGGGTAAACAATAAATATAACCTAATCATTAATAAGGATAAATCATATTTTATCACTGGTTATTTTTTATTTTTTTGGAGGCCCCATTTTAGTCTTTGCACACGGGCCTCCAATGGCCTATTTACGCCACTGAATTTCATCATGCTTTTAGTGCATATTTGAGGTTTTTCGTAATATACTAATATATTATGAGGGATGGGCCGATACCTCTTTTTACCGATATCCGATATATGCAACCGATAAAAAACCGATACCCGATATATTTGAAAACAAACATTTTCAGCATAAACAATGAACCGATATTAAAAGATCACCGATACTATTATCATTTTATATTTAACTATTACAATTTTTAATCAATATAGTATTATGCTGATAGATTTGGTTTTTTTTTTGGTATTGGTTCAAATATCGGTTTAAAAAAAAAACCGATACCGATAAACCCGATACCACCAATATCGAGTATAGGTTTTAATATCGGCCCATCCCTAAATTTATTATTTATTATTAACCGACTCGACTGGCGTAATTAATAGTTCAAAATTTTCCGACGGGGCGGCGGCGGAAATAGCCGGTTTCCATCCGTGGTGGCGGGAAGTGTGGGGTTCTTCTAAAAATGTCTAGACAAGAAGAACTAACTACATCAGACCTACCATATTTCAAATATGCTCCTTTCTCATCTACTTAAGATTCAAAATGTTGCTATCGGATAACATAAGATATAAGAATATTTACTTTTAATAATTTAATAAAAACGTTGATTATCCAGTGCAATGTCCAATTACTATTAGGTATGTTTTAATCAAAGTTTTAGGTTTATTTTTGAGTATGTATATTATATACGGTATACGTAAATACGTTAGATTTTATTGTATACAATAAATATTATCAAAATGTTCAGTATATTCAAATTAAAAAAGGTGCTCTACTTTACAATAGGTTACAAGTGGGTCACTGTATAATGGATGGTATTAAATTTGAATTCAATGATATAATATCATTGTATAAGAAAAACGATTCTGAGCTTAGACAGTATAAGAAGCATAAAAGACATATTATATACTTATAAATTCCAAATTAATCATATCACAATATCCATTAGGTACTTATAACGCGTAATACATCGACAAAAAACCCTGATACTATCATATATATATAATAGTGTACTTTAGAAGTTTCAAGTACCCACGAATAATTTATACAATCACAACAAAATAACTAAATAACTTATTCTAGGTTTTTTATTATGTAATTTCGTCCAAATTTGAACTTAAAATTACTATAAAATTAAACTGTGCTTCTGTATTTTTTAGATTTTTTGGTAAGAGAATTAACTACTTACGTGGAATTTTGTTTTAAATTTTCAATCCTTAGATATAAAATTTGAACATTTATAAATTTTTAACTACAAAATAATTATTCAATTTTAAATTTGATACATTTTGTCTTTAAATACTTATAAAAAAAATTGTGCCTATGTATTTTAAATATTTTTCAACTGATATTGTAACAATATATCAGGAGCTTTGTATTAAATTTTTACAGTTTTTGGCCTAACAGATAAAACTTTATTGATATTTATAGAAAAAAAAACTAAAATAAAGCCGGCCAAGTGCGAGTCGGACTCGCGCACGAAGGGTTCAGTACCATTATCTAAAATTATGTCTGTTGTCGTTTGCGGGGTGGTACAATTCTGTATTGAAATTTATAAAACGAATCTTTGTATACGACGTCACTCATGCCAACCATTTATTAACAATACGACGTCACTCGTGGTAACTATTTATAAACAAAAATTTCCATCTGAAATCTCAAAATTCCCGTTTTAGCACCCCGAGGGGTTGCTCCTATCCCTTTTTTTTAGTATTTGTTGTTATAGCATTCACGGAAATACATAATATGTGAAAATTTCAACTTTCTAACTTTCATGGTTCATGAGATACAGCCTGGCGACAGACGGACAGACGGACGGACAGCCGAGCGAAAGTAATAGGCTTCCGTAGGGAAACGTACGGAACCCTAAAATTTGAAAACTGAAAATGTTCGTCAACAGCTCAAAAAGAGTCAAAATATTTTCAAAATTATATGGTGTATAGGAAATGCTAATATAAACATTCAGTGAAATTTTCATGTAGCTTATTCGTTTTTTAATTACAACAAAAGAAAGAAATCGCTACATGAGAAAACGAGTGAATATCCAATGTCGTAAAAATATGAAATTCAAACGCTCATAAAAATTAAATTTGACTTTCTTATTGACATTTTTTTTTGATAATGGTAGATAATCTTATAAGGAATATTGTATTACATTTTAAAATCTTAGATTTAAAAAGAAAATTTTTTATGAATTTCTAACTCAAAATAATTTTATAGGTTTATTTATAGGTCTAGGTATCCTCAATTTATTCAGAATTTTCAAATAGGTATTTCAAAAATCACACTGATAAAGTGATAACATTCATAATTTGACTAAACCTCTTTTAACAAAAAAATATAGAAATTGCCTATATATTTCTCCTAATATTTTAAATATTTTTAAATTAATATTATTCCTGAATATTATTTTCCCGTGTAAATATATTCCTAGTATTTAAATTCCCGTCGATTATTTTCTGGCTTAATATTTTCCTGATTTTTATTTTCCCCTGTAATATTTTCCTTTGTAGTAATTTCCTACTTAGTTGGTTTCCTGATTTTTGAATTCTTGTATATTATTTTCCTTCTTTATATTTTCATTAATTTTAACTTCCTAAGCATAATTTTCCCCTAAAATATTTTCCTGATTTATATTTTCCAGATAATATTTGTTCCTGTCATAAAAGCATTCCTGACAAATATTTTCCTGAATTTAATTATTCCTGACGACAATTTTCCCGAAAATTATGCGCCACCGGTTTTGTTAGTATTTAACTGCTAATTATATAAAATGTATTTGTTATTTATGTCTGTATGAGTAACTTTGATAATATCTTTTAATATAATTGATACAGATTTGATTGTATTAATTTGTTTTAATATATTATTCATTAAATAATATGTCATACTATGATATTATGTACCTTTCTTAATTTGTTTTTACTTTTTATAATATTAACTTTTAGTATAATATTAACTTTTAAACACAATCCTATTTACATCTGAACGGATAAATTATAGTTGAGATTGTGTGCTATGATTGTATCAACAGGGTTTCTAGCAGCTACGGTATTTAAAAATAGTGAAAATAGTAAGTTTTTTTTTCAAAATAGTGAGTTAAAGTGAGTTACATCTTATTAATAAGGATAGGTAACATCAAAACTAAAATGTAATAAAAAATACCATCGTTAATATAAATAAAATACTTTTTTTATTATAACAGTAAAATAAAAAGCAAATAGTAAATACCAATCAAACATATGTACATAATAACATGATTATTATAGTAATGTAACAAACAAATAAAAATAACTGAAAACGAAATAAATTTTAATCTTTGCGTTGTTTTTTTTCGATAAACGAGGAAATAAGGTTGTTTTTCCTTTTTTCAATTTTTTTTTAATAACTGCAGAAGCTTCTTCCTTCAGTTTATATTCTTTGTGAAGAGTTTGGGCTCCTTCTAACATAGCCTGTGCTATCTGTATTTCATTGAACTCTTTTTTCTTTACAGCATTCTTTAATCTTAAATTAGCTTCTTCAATCATTTTTTCAGCCACATTCTTCTGAGAAACTTCATTTTTCTTGGCTTCTTTGTATTTATCTTCTAATATCTTAATATCTTTTTGTGATTTAACAAGTTGTTCGTTTAATAATTGGTTTCTTTTCTTTTCTTCTTCTATATCTTTTTTTTCAATTTCTTTTCTTTCTGCCGTACGTTTTTCTTCTTCTAAATTACTTTTATACTTTCTGTATGCAAAATGTGCTTCAGTTAAAAGTTCTCTAGTGATTGGAATTAGTTCAGCCTTTCCACCATAAGCTCTTAGAGCACTTTTTATATTAAGTTTAGCGTTAAGTGTTTTGACTTTCATTCTGACTTTATCAGGAGTAATAATTTGTCCAGATATGGAAAACCCTCGCTCTACTGATGCACTTCCATGAGAAAGAGAAAGGACAGCTTTAACGACTTTAGTTATAAGAGGATATTTACATTCATTAATAGCATTTTTTATGTTAAATATGTTGTTCCAATAACAATCAATACGTGACGAGTTGTTTGATGTTGTAATTAAATTTGAGTCAAGTTGAAGTAGCAACCATTCGTCAGATAATGCTGTTTCAGATATTTTGAGAGGTAATAATCGAGCAACTTTTATTATGCTACGAATACTTTTTTCTTCCTTGCGCTCTTCTGGCTTTAAGCATTTAAAATGTTTTGTAGTTGCACTTGATGCGATTATAGTTTTATTAAGTAAATGAGTAGCTGCAGCAATAAAATGGTCTCTGACATTGGTTTTAAAGTGAAGTTGGTCTAAATCTTTCATTTTTAATATAATTTTTTCGGTATTGTCACCGCATTTAATACGATTCGTAGGAAGTAAATTACTTGAAATGAAATGAGAGTTTACGCTGTTTAAATCTAACAGTACATCAGGCTTGCACATCTTCCCAACACAGTTGCTGTTAACTCCATTACTTCTTCAAATAGAATATGAATCAGAGGTTCTTCTTTTTGGAAGATGAGTAAAAAACGTTCGAAAATAGCTGCACTTTCAATAACAAATGCTACTTCTGCTCTCATAAACGAGTTTTTTAAATAATTTGAAATATTTTTGAATTGGGCTGTTTGTACAATTTTTTTCATGTTCGGAGTTGCACTTTTAGGAATATCTCGAAGAAAAAACTGCTCCAATGCCGGCCATTGCTCTTGAAGTCTTTTTGCAGCAGTAGACAGGGTAAGCCATCTAGAAGTAATGTGTTTTACAAAACAATGCTGTGGTACGTTGACTTTTATCTGTGCATCCAAGAAAGCTTCTTGACGACTTGGCCATCCATCAAAAAATGCATTCACAGTTATTACCATATCACCAACATCAGCTCCAAATGTTTCTAACCCCTTGCGGAAAGCATTGTGTACAATGTGTATATTACATGACCCAATATCAAGCAAAGATGTACCTCGTTTCTTTTTTACAACTTCATTTATTATAGACTGGACTTTTTTGTTGACATTAGGACCATCCCTTGCCAACATTAGTAATTTTGTAAGGGGCAAATCTGCATTTTTCAAAGCGTTTAAAAGGTTATCTGCTAAAATATCACCTGTAGCTTTCCCAATAAAAAAAGTTTCAAGATGTTTGAATACAATTTTTTCTTCATGTTCTGACCAATATTGTATAGAAACCTGCAACTCTTTAAAATCAGCAGAGTTGGTTGTCTCATCGAAATGTAACGAATAATAAGCATTGCTTGCATCTGCCAGCAACTGTTTTCTGAAGTATGGGCCTAGAGCTTCAGTTACATAATACCCAAATTTACTTTTGCCAAGAGAAAACTCATCTGGAATACCTTTAGGAAACATCACTTTAAATATATTAACAATTCCGTCACATGATGAAGCAGAATAATTAGACCAGACACATTTCATTGTCCATAAAAGCTCAGCCCTTATTGCTTCATCTTTAATACATCGAAGACCAACATTACTAGAAATCGGCAAAGCACTCGTCGATGAACTTTGAATCGGCTGTTCAGTATATGAATATGAAGAAACAGGCGCTGAGTCATGAGTCCTAATCAACCGAAGTTGTGTAGAATCAAGCTTACACTCAGCATTATTTTGATGAAACTTAGTAGAAACATGTTGGGTTATTGCTTGAAAGCCTTTCATTTCACAGGAAAATGTTGATAGACAAACGGCACAGAAAACACTAGACTCATTTCTTTTTGTTGCCCAAGAAGAAATAACATACCCGAGTTTATCTTTTCTTGTCAGCCATTCATCGTGAACTCGACATTTGACTTTCATTGACTTCATGGTATTTCTAAGACATTTAAAATATACATCAGTCATGTATGTATTACGTAGCTGATTTTAGAAAAAGTCAATTAAAATAATAAAATGTTTTAAAATATATAAACAAAAAATTATATTATTAATTAATATTAGAATAGGAACCCGTCAAAATAAGGCGGAATTATTGTAGTGGTAATAGTATCGCAGTAATAACGTGGCGGTAAAAATATCGCAAAGCAAAAAAGTACTCAACTGTACAAAAAATTAGGTAATAATATCGAATTTTATCTCATCATAAGTCAAATTTAAAATAATAATTATAATAAAATATTTATAAACCTCATTTATAATTGTATAATGCATAGGTATTAGGTGTACTGAGGTAATATCGGGAATGGAACGTTTCGGTGATATGTCGATACGGCGAATGATGATATATTATTATTATTATTACTATACAAAAAATATATATAATTATTAAGTGAAGAAATTATTTTCAACATGTTGACTGCCATGCGGCCGCCGGCAGCCGCAAAAAAAAAATACGTATCGATAGTTTTTAGAACGTACGCTGCCGCACCATGTCATTCCTAGGAGGCCGTACAGCCGCGGCCCGCCGTAAATGAATTTGGATTTATATCATTAACTTTTACATGGCGCTACAATAATGAACTGAAAAATACACTGTGGCGTAGCGGGAATAATTAAAAAAATTTTGAAACATATTTTTACGTTTTTTTTTATTTTTTTAAATTTTTTTTCCAATTTAATAGTATATAATATACAAATTTGTAATGACACTGGAAAATGTACCTACTTGGCGTACACATCTATGGAAATATGGCAGAAGCTGATGTGTACATTTTGTTAATTTTTGAATTATCATTTAAATAGTTTGGAAAATCGTATAATTCAAGTGGTGGAAAAATATGATATGTCTTTCATCGTGTGTGTGGCGCCATTTATGCGCAAAGACGAAAACTGATTGTCATTATTCGAAAATATATGTAACGGCAAAACTAAGTTTAGAAAATGTACATATCAGCTTTTGCCATCACTCCACAGACATGATACCCTATAGTGTGACCGCCGGCGGCCGCATGGCAGTCAACGTGTTTTTAATTAATAACTAACAAGATAACAAAAATTTAAACTTACGTGTTACGAGTAACGTACGTGTGGACAGCTCGAGTCACGGCAACAAAATAATTTAATAATGTCATGTGAAAACCCTAATATCATTTTTCTTATAAATGTACACTGTAAAATCTATAAATATAAATTATATACTATCCACTATACGGATCATACACACGCACACAAATAATATAAACAAATATCAATAACACTGAAACTGAAACATCGATAACAAAAATGCGGGTCTCGCTCGCCAACTGACTGTCAATACGTTAAAACCTACTTACATTATAATATCATATAATAATATAAATAATATAAAGAGATATTTTATTTTCGTATTAATTATATTTTTTTTTCAATATTTCAGAAATTTTAAATAAACGTAGGGTTTTTAATTATTTTCTAGATTATAAAGATAAATAGTGAGAAAAGTGAGGACATTTAAGATATAGTAAAAAAAAGTGAGTTGATTGAAAAATAGTGAGAAATAGTGAAAAAAGTGAGTCACTAGAAACCCTGTTGTATCAATTGAAAATACATATATTATTATGTAACTTTTTACATTTTGTTTTGTACTTAGTAACCACCAATTGTTATTATAAGTTATTATGATATAATATGTTTTTACTATTTTTACTATTATGTCTATGCCAATAACTTTTAAACACTATCATTAACACTCCTCATATAATATTATTATTACTATACTTGGTATTCAACCACAAATTGTTATTATAAGCTCTCTACTATAACTTTGCTATTCATGTCTGTATGAATCACTTTTTGTAACAAACTAATATTATGTAACTTTTTAAATTTTGTTAGGTAATTTCTAACCAACAATTGTTATTAATATTATTTTACTATTATGTCTATGCCAATTACTTTTAAACACAATTTGCAATTTATGTCTAAACGAATAACTTTTTATAATAATCTAAATAATATTTATAATATTGTACTTTTCATATTTTACGCTATATCTACAATGTATTCATTTATACCTACTTCAAAATACATTGTCAATTTAATGTAATGTCAAAAAGCGTTTAAATAATATTATGTCACTTTGTAAAGTTTGTTTAAATGATACTAGGTTTTGTCAGTATTTAACTGCTAATTATATGAGTAACTTTGAAAATATCTTTTAATATAATTGATATAGATTTGATTTTATTAATTTATTCATTATATAATATGTCATACTATGATATTATGTACCTTTTTTAATTTGTTTTTACTTTTTATAATATTAACTTTTAAACACAATTCTATTTACATCTGAACGGATACATTATAGTTGAGATTGTGTGCTATGATTGTATCAATTGAAAATACTTATATTATTATGTAACTTTTTACATTTTGTTTTGTACTTAGTAACCACCAATTGTTATTATAAGTTATTATTATATTATGGTTTTTACTTTATAACTATTTAATAGTAGTTGTCATACCTTTTATCACTATTATATCTATGTCTATGTCTGTCTGTATTTTATGTCTGTATGAATAACTTTAAATAATAGTCCAAATATCTGTCGGTAGAAGTAGACCGTATTGTTATGTTTGATATGTAACGTTTCAATTGTACCATAACTTTACTATGTATCATAACCCACCTATTATACTACTATTTGACACAATTCAATACTATAAGCTAATATTACTGTATTACTGAGAATTTCTTGTGATTTGTAACGTCTATCTAAGAATAAAAAAAAAATTACCATCTCAACCTAATGTTTTATTTGGATCGTCACCTTATTGTAATGATACATCAATATTGGTTGGTATTTATCTATGTTCATTGTATTACACTGCCTATAATTGTTGTTATACACATCTAACAATGGCATACACTATTAAAATACATAATTACACAATTACATCAGACCCCTCAAAATGTTACACCTAACACATAGGCTACTAATAGTATTATACTACAATATTAACTTATGTGTTAACCATGATTATTATATTAAGGTAGGAAATAAAAACAAGACATGTAAAAAAAAAGGTTTTTATTCATCTGATCTGAAAAACATTAAAGCGAAAAAACAGTGTTAGGATAATGGCTTCAAAAAAAATTCTCCAATTGACAACTTACTATGGTGAAATAAATAATGCCACCAGGTCATCCAACGCCGACCCACACGACACACCAGCTGTCGATTCATACAACGTCTGCAATTCATATTATTAGCATTAAAAGATATTCTCAAATTCACAAATGACTGTGTGTCCACTTTCATTCATATCCTACATTTTTTTATTTGTTTAGCGCTATTAGGATTAAAAATATTACTTACGGGTGTCGACGTCCGAGTCGACGTCGCCATAGGTGCCGCGGGAGCCGGAGTCCGTGGCCTTTCGGACAGACTCCGCGGCGGCCTTATACGATGGCGACTCGACCCGACCCCACGTTGTACGGCTGGGTGCATCGTGTATGGCGTCCTCATTGGCGTGTTGGGGGCTATAAATATTACAAACATTATTATTTAATTCATTATTAAACTGCGATATACACTCACCGAGGCATTGCCGGACGGTGTGCCCCACTTTGTTGCACCTGTAACATCCTGAAACACGATGTAGGCGTTAGTTAATAGTAAACATTTAAATGTACCTATCACCTAATTACTTACGTTTGTTTGACGGCGGCGGATGGCGCGCGGTGGTGAAAGTCTTCGCCGGCGCGCGCGGCGACGGCGGTCTTGGCCGGCGGTGGCGCGGCTGCCACGGCCGGAGCCGAGCCGACCACCAGACTGGCAATAGCGCCGTTAAAAATATTGACTATTCCAATGTTGTTCATTCTAAAAAAAAAAAAAGATGAAACATTTAGCGTAGACACAGCATAAATATTTAACTACTTTGCCGGAAAGCGTGGGCAGGTGCTTACAAGAAAATAAGCCCTCTAAGTTTACATCCGCATTGGATGTGTTAAAAACCACCTAACAATATTGTACTCATTCTAAAGTAAATAAATGAAAAGAAATAAAGAAAATGTCTATGGTACAACAACATATACATTATAATATTAATTGATATATGTCGGCTTGAACGCTAATGTTTTATACGTTGTTATTATTATTACTAATACTAAAGTCGACAAATCAAAAGCAATAAACAAAGTGTATAGTACAACGAAACTTAATTCGTTAAACGGAATAAAGCATGTTTTCAAAAGCAACGAATTAAATTAACAATACAATATTACATATAATATTACAATATTAATATTACATTATATACTCACGTGTTTCCGTTTTTTTCGGCAAGTAGGTTTCTTGTAAGTAGGTGTGGACCTCTTGTGTGGACTTCAATTGTACGTTTGAGAACGGTTAGTCGGACGTCGGCACAGTCCATTGTCTTAGAAACGGCGACAATAACAACAGTCAAGGCAGGTAACCAATGGGGGTAATGAAATCGCACGGCTGATAAACTGATTTATTGTATAGACATATTATATCTAAATTTTATATTTTTATTATGCATTCGAACACGGCATTAAAACTTGGCCATCGTTCTTATTTCATTTTTGCAAAATGTTTTCATATGGTTATAATAATGCCATAGCCCATCACTCGAATTTATTGATACACACGCAAACATAGTTTTCAAACATTCCCGCCTTCGACAGAATACCGCCAAAGCCTTATCACCGACCGTTTATCGTCGGTCCGCTCGCTATCAGCGAATACAGTTACTGTTGGCGCGACTTTTAACAAACGTTTACATAATACGGGAGACATTGGTTCTAACACCATGTTGGTGCTTGGAAACAAAACCACAACCAGCTGACCGAGTTCCGTTTCCATATCGTTGCGCCTTCGGCAATGCAACACTGAAATTCTTGATGGAAATACAGTATGCTATTA